GGGAAACTGGTTTGTATTAATACGTTACACATGGTGAAAACCACGCAAACTCCCAAGCAGCCAGCCCGATCGCGGAATTCGAACCTCGGACCGAAGTACCAGTGTTCAGGAACTTTACCGCTCGGCCGCTGGTGGAACGGTGAAATCACCGAGTACTGGTAGTTCGACTTTGGCTGCATAGGCGCTTTGGTATTTTTCTGCATTTGTAAGGTGTAACAGTTTTCCTTAAAAAATTCTCCACGAAGGTCCACATGATATAATCTGCTAAGGTTAGGATACTTTCATTCAAAAATAACGCTTCAGGTTGTATGCAGAGCAACAGCTTGAGCACAGCAAGACATATCCAGTAAACAAGCCACAACTCTTTGCCCTATATAATGAAAAAATACATTTCTTATCATATCCAGTAAACAAGACACAACTCTACCCTATATAATGAAAAAATACATTTCTCGATTCAGTAATAAATATGTGAATTTTTCGGGATTAATTTTAAGCTTTAGGAATTTTTAATCCTTCAAAAGATGTATCGTTTAGGAAAGGTATGTTTTTCTGCAGTTGAAAATTCTGAACACAAACGAAAGGTTATGTGGTACATAAATTAATAATTGAAGCTTAATATTCAGTCAAAGGTACAATTAACGTAAAGATTCGCGTCAACATCATTTGGAATAAATGTACATTAACGTTAATTCGCCCCACCCAAATTACTTTCAGAATATATTACTCGTATAATTAATTATAATTAAGCAGCAGGCCGCAAGAAATTGAAGTGTTTTGCATTCTGTATGTAGTGCAAGCCTGTTGTAATCCATACACGAGAGATTTAGGCTCTCTAGCTTTCGAATGTACTTCTTCATTTAATACCTAAATTTTACGAGAAATAATTCTTTTAATAAATACTTTTACGAATATTTTTTGTGCTCAATGATACAAATTTTATCTAAAAATGAATTAATAACCCTTAATGAGTTATTACAGTTTATCTGTTTGCTTTCTAATTTATAGAAATTGGTGTAGTATGTAATGTAACGAGCAGTAGATTACGAAGCTTTGTTATTCAAATGCCATACTCAACGTGTAATTAGTATAATATTCTCAAATGCGCAGTTAGAAAGGCTATTGAAAATTCTATGTGAAATAGCACTTACATATCTTAAAGAGAGTAAGAAATTTATAAGAGCTTCGAAGAAAGGGAAGGAAGTGAACCTTTTAGCGAAGTTCCAATTTTTGTGCTTACATTACTTTAACTCATGCAAATTAACGAGTCATCTAAATGCAAATCTTTAAGTGGAAGAATTGCGCGATCGCTCTTGAAGTTAAGCATAAAATATGAATCTCAACACGATAAAGCTCACTTTCACTATATATTAAGATGGAAATTTATCATCGAATTGCAGGCGTAATTTGAAAATTTTAATTGCCTTAATTTACTACGGAGTCATTTATCTAGGACGATATGACCAGCATATTAGTTGCAGTAAAGTTCTCTGAGGTGTTAAATGGTGAAACAGACGGTTAATTTTTTATATGACACTAATCTCACTCTTTATTATTCTAGGTTACATTGGTAAAGGGGCATCTTGAATGCGTATTTAATAAAAAATTAAATTTTAGGTTTGTAGCTTAGAAATCTGCCAGTAATGTATTTAACAGTTACGGCTCGGTATAGTTTTGAATTATTTCCGTAAGGAATTTAACTGTATGCTAAAACTGCATAAAATTGTATGTATTTATTTTTTGCAAACTTACTCATTCTTCTTGAAATACGTTTCAGATCATTCTGAATAATATTTTGCAATGAATAATGCGAGATTATGACTAAATTTTGAATAGTAACTAAGTAATAAACCAAAAATTCACCTTGCCTTTGACACACATGGAAAGTTTATGTGAAAGAGAACAATAATCTTGTGTAAGTACTGGTTCTTAATGTATTATGTATTGAAAGCACACAGAACTGATGACAGCTTGATAACATTTATTTTCCCATAAAAAACACTTTACAGTTCTGGAACTTTTCAGAAAGGTACTCGTACATTTATTTTCAGTCAAACAGAACGCAGTCAGTAGTTACTAATTCAAATTACTAAGAACGTTAAACACAACGCAAAGCAAAGTGCATCTAAAGAGCGAAGCTCGCACGGAGATCTTCCATTACCCGCAATATCTACTCCGAACTGAAAAACTGAGAACTGATGCTCTCTCCGGTCTTACCTAGTTTTTGTCCGCTCGCGGAGAAATTGCTATCACTTTCAATTTCTCGAAACTACTGGAAAACATATATGATTAAAGTTACATATAAGTGCCGGATACGCTTACAGTTACATATAAGAATTAGTTATAGTTATTCAATTGCAATATCAATTACAGTTATACAGGGACCGGGCCAAAAATGTCAGCAGATGTTTGCGAAGTTTGGTGACTTTTGGCAATTTTTCGCCAACTGTGGTGACAAAAATTAGTCGCCAAAACTGTCGCAGCTTGGCGATATCTGGCCAGTTTAGCGAGATAACCATTTACCTCCATGTTAAAAAAACTTGCCCTTATAACCTTATTTTTCCGGTAAAGCTTTGTCTCTTGAGACATTTTATGTTACATTATGCAAAAGCTACTACAATTTTACATATAATTTGACTAAAATGATTTAGATACGTAAAAATTCACAACAATACGTTTTCAACTATTTTATAGTGTTCAGGATATAATCTTGCAGAATTTTTTTTATTTAGGTCTGAGTAAAATGTTAGAAGTCAGGATGTTATTAGAATTATAAGATTAAATATAATTCACAAAACAAAGCACGAAACGGAGGTGCGATAATTTCTAATATGTTTAATAAACTTCACTATTATTAAAAATTCAGATTTACGGGTTCTTGAGCTGATGTTTTAACAGCATTTTGGTCCTAAAAATATATCAGCGAAATGAGGATGGGACGTGTATGCAAATGTAGTTACATTGTGATTATAATTTATCAGGTACGCTATTAAAGTAGTACTTAAAAAGTTAAACTTAGAGATTCACGTAAACTATTGATATGGTGAAAGTCAATATTTATCTTGTATGTCAACTAAAAAAGTTAAAAAATGCAAAGCATTCTAACATAGCTTTTAGAAATTAAAACGGACCTGAAATAGTTAACATTTGCAGGAGGTAAAACGTTCTGATATAATCTCAGAGCGTTTTCTTGGCTCCGTTTAAAAGTAGAGGAAGTCTTCTTTACAAATTTCATTTTCTCCCAAAAAACTTGATTACCATCCACAGAATAAACTGAAGTACAATGTCTAGTTAGGCTGCATATCTTTACGGTTCCCGTATCTTGTAGAAAGAAGGGACACCACTATGATACACAGTTGATTTAGAAAGTTTTGCTTCTAGTTTGGTAGATTATGGCAAAGCACACTAGGGCTATCTGCCTAAGGAGAGGGATGCTTTCTTGGAGGACTTTAAAGGAAACTGGATCATATACACGTTACACATGGGGAAAACCACGAAAATGCCTACTCAGGTAGTAACTATCAGTGTTCAGCGATTTTAATGCTCGGCCGCTGGTGGGCTCAAGCAATATGCTGGCTAGAAGACGAACAAGGGTAAAAATTCCCCAAACCTGAACCCTAAATTACCTTGAGAAAAGGTGACTTCGATATTTCTGGTTTCCTGAACGTTCCTTGTAGCTTTTCCCAGAATATGACTCTTTTGAAACCTTATACCATAATGAGGCAATTGAAACTAATTTATTTCCCTTGAACATTAGAACACGTTTAAATTTCATGCCAGCTACTTGAATGGCCGCTTGCCGATTTCAGAATTTTACTGTCCTTATTTTTAATTCGTACGTATTTCTCCATTCCAACCTGTCTGGTTTTGTCGTCTACATGTTTTTTCTTCTTCAGTTGAGGGTTTTTCTTGTTCTCGGTTTGTTTCAGTTCTTCTGGGATTTACACACTTAAGTTGATTTCATTTGCTTACGTTAGGCTCTTAAGCTATTCGCATAGTCTCAGTAAACTTTAAATTTGTCCATTAGGCAAATTTTACAGCTTGTTTTAGAGTTTCTCAATTCTGGCTTTGCTTCCGCTTTCCAGCCCCCATTACTTTTTATGAATTTTCCATTAATGCAATTTTTTTTCTTTACTATGAATATTTGGGTCAAGCTGTCAGTATTCAGCTGCCCTATCCGTTCGGTCATTGATGAGCTTGTTATTTTTTTACTATGTATATTGATACCTTTTTCCAGTTCCTAAAACTCTGCACATTAGCTAAGAAATAGCCCAAGAAAAGGAAAACAAAATTCTAAACAAATACGGAATCTATTAGGAAAGTTATATATATCTTAAGAGATTCCGTGGAGAGATTTCTACGGGAAAAAGATTTATATTCGTGTCTTGCAGGAGGAAAGCCAAAAATATTTTACATAGCCAGCACTCACAACTAGTTCTTTCACTGGATTCCGCGGGCGAACTACCAGTGGTGTTAACAATGCTGCCGATCATTGTCTTTTAAAAGGATCAAAATTGTTAACCACATTTTGATACTTTAGATAAATTACAAAATATTACATTTTAAATTTTAGCTCTAATTAAATTATTAAAGCGTTCTTATTATAGTTTTAGAATCTTTTCCCCCTTTATCTTTTCATTGTTTTTGAACAAAATTGAGTATAAGAATAAAAAATTCATCTGCGGCCCATTATATTACACTGTTTAAAATTTTCAGAGCATGTACTGTAATTTAGATTTAATACCCTTTCTTACTAGAGCTTCTTTTAGTAGTGGATGTTGCTAATTAGATGACAAGTAAGTAAAACGTATGCAGATGAAGTTTATTTTGGAATAAAGTAAGAATACTCGGTAAACAGGATTGAAATTAAAAAAGCTTGAAAATAAGTAATTGATAGTTGTTTCACTCGGTTTATGGTTTACGATATCTATGAATCTTCGGAGAAATGAAGTTAATTCTCGGAAATGAATCTATTAGTTAATTATTTTGACTGAACTTACCGCACTGTCAAGCCCAAGAGTAAGAAGCATGGTGAAAAACAAAACAGCCCAAAACGGTCCTCCTGGTAGAGTGGCTATTGCTTCAGGGTACACTTGAAAGACGAGACCATGACCTTCAGTTGCGACTTCAGAGATTGGGAGACTCTCTTTGTTGGCCATATAACCCAAATAAGCAAAAATCACGAAACCACTGTAAAAACTGGTGAAACTGTTTACCGCCACAGTGAAGAGACAATCTCTGAAAAAGAAAAATGTTACATAAAAAAACTACATTTCTCACACAATGTACACTTAGAACTAACTCTCTTGTTACCAAAAATTTACTGGAGGATCTAAGATAGAAAAACTATTGTTGCGAAATATACACCATGTTCGTAAAAGTTCTTATGTGATCGTTATTTTCAAAACTGTTACCTTTTGTCATACACATACAACCTAGTGCAAAAATGTTTAAATCACGCAAATATTCATATTTTGATTCTTTTAAATTAAAAAAAATCAATGTAAAAATTTCGAAGTTAACTTTTTTACATCTATTGTTATAATCAAAATCGTAAAAACAACCTTGTATTTAGCGTAAGTATATTGAAACACTTAATCGATTTCGAGGGCAGCTAAAGGTCCCTCCTCATCAGGAGAAAGAAATACCTGGAAAGAAGAAAATAAAGGGGAAGGAGTCTCAGAAACACGTGGTCCTTATCAGCACTGCACGTGGTTATAACTGGATTTTTAATCAGAGTTGCACTGGCTGCCTACTTTTACTGAGCCAAGCTATCTGATCAAGCATGAAGGACAAGAAAAATTAGCGAAGTTAAAAATAGGGAGCGAGGGGCATATGCACCTTCACGCTCAAAATCTGAACTTCAAATAATGGAAAGCAACGACTGAACGGATTTTTATACCCCCTGGTAGTACCAAACGCGAGGAGGTAACACCATCTATCGGCAAAAATAACTGAATTAAGATAGTAGAATTTTAAAGGCATTAGGAAGGACTGGATTGGACTTCAAATCATTAACTAAACCTGCTAAATCTTTGTGAATGTGAAAAGCCTCAAGAAAATCCAATTCACCTATGGAAGAAGCCTTTGGGATAATTTTTGCAGACTCAAAGTCAAAATTATGGTTAAATGTCCAACTATGATACGCTATTGAAGACTTGTTAATTTCGCCTTTTCTGACATAAGATTCATGTTCCTTGATACGAAACTTCAATGCTCTTTTTGTTTGGCCAATATATCTTAAAGCACACTGACACGATATACTATAAATTCCCCAAGAATTCCAGACAGAAACACAATCTTTTAGAATCGAAGGGTGAATTTTATTAATAGGGGAGAAACCGACTTGAAAATTGAATTTCTCGAGAATCCGTGCAATTTTATAGCTAACAGAAGGGTAAAATGGAAGCACGACAAGGTCATTGATATTATTTCTAACAGTGGAATGTCTTCTTTGATGGGAACCTGAACATTTTTAACGGCTTTATCAATAATCACGGGAGAAAATCCGCCGTCAATCGCAACTGCTTTCAAATAATTAAGTTCATTGGTAAGCAAAGATTCAGAGGAACAAACTTTAAGCGCGCGGAATACATAATAGTAAAAAGAAGCCATTTTTGGCTTAACAGGGTGGCATGACATGGCATGGGGTGGTAAACAAACTGCAAAGGGTTTACGGTACACAGTGGTGCTAAAATCAGTTTCATTGCGGATTATAAAGAATATCAATAAAGGGGAGGGAATTGTTGGATTCAATTTCAAGAGTGAATTGGATGGCTGGATCAATTGAATTCATAATAGATAGAATCTCGGATAAATCCTCTTTATAACCGTCAAAAAGTGCGAGAGTGTTGTCAACATGCCGATTCCAAAGACGAAAAGATAGTTTATCAAATAATTTCATCTCAAAATAGTGCATATAAATGTCAGCAAGTACCGGACTGAGAGGATTACCCATAGCCAATCCTTCAACTTGACGAAAATATGCATTTTGAAAACCAAAGTGGGTTTGACTCAGAGAAACTTTAGTAAGCGAAACCAACTCATTAATTTCAGTATGTGTGAAGTGAAATTCCCGAAGCCTAGTTTCAAGACAATTTAGTACTCCTTCGACCGGAACATTAGCAAACAGTGATTTGACATAAAATGAAACCATAATGGAACGAAGTGGAGAAATATTTTTAAGTTAATACTTCAACAGAATTTTTTACAGTGTGAATATTGTTAGCAAGTAGAGGAGAAAATCTGGAAACTAAATATTTGGCCAAAAGATATGAAGCAGTACCTATGTTGGAAACAATTGGCCGAAAAGGAATACCAGTTTTGTGGACTTTTGGAAGAGCATAAAGCCTAGCGCAATTAGTAACAGGTGGAATAAGTGATTTCTTCAACTGAGTTGGTAGAATGTGAGAAGATTTGATAGCACTTTTAACTTTCGTGAGGTCCGAAGTTGAAGGATCTTTAGGGATCGAGCAGTATGGGCCTTCATTTATCAGTTTAGAGACTCACTTGAAATTGAATCCAACAATTTCCTCCCCTTCCTTGATATTCTTATAATCCGCAATGAAACTGATTTTAGCACCACTGTGTACCGTAAACCCTTTGCAGTTTGTTTACCACCCCATGCCATGTCATGCCACCCTGTTAAGCAAAAAATGGCTTCTTTTTACTATTATGTATTCCGCGCGCTTAAAGTCTGTTCCTCTGAATCTTTGCTTACCAATGAACTTAATTATTTGAGAGCAGTTGCGATTGACCGTGGATTTTCTCCCGTGATTGATAAAGCCGTTAAAAAAAATTTTCAGATTCCCATCAAAGAAGACATTCCACTGTTAGAAATAATATCAATGACCTTGTCGTGCTTCCATTTTATCCTTCTGTTAGCTATAAAATTGCACGGATTCTCGAGAAATTCAATTTTCAAGTCGGTTTCTCCCCTATTAATAAAATTCACCCTTCGATTCTAAAAAATTGCGTTTCTGTCTTGAATTCTTGGGGAATTTATAGTATATCGTGTCAGTGTGCTTTAAGATATATTGGCCAAACAAAAAGAGCATTGAAGTTTCGTATCAAGGAACATGAATCTTATGTCAGAAAAGGCGAAATTAACAAGTCTTCAATAGCGTATCATAGTTGGACATTTAACCATAATTTTGACTTTGGGTCTGCAAAAATTATCCAAAAGGCTTCTTCCATAGGTGAATTGGATTTTCTTGAGGCTTTTCATATTCACAAAGATTTAGCAGGTTTAGTTAATCATTTGAAGTCCAATCCAGTCCTTCCTAATGCCTTTAAAATTCTACTATCTTAATTCAGTTATTTTTGCCGATAGATAGCGTTACCTATTCGCTTTTGGTACTACCAGGGGGTATAAAATTCCGTTCTGTGGTTACTTTCCATTATTTGAAGTTCAGATTTTGAGCGTGAAGGTTCATATGCCCCTCGCTCCCTATTTTTAACTTCGCTAATTTTTCTTGTCCTTTATGCTTGATCAGATAGCCTGGCTCAGTAAAAGTAGGCAGCCAGTGCAACTCTGATTAAAAATCCAGTTATAACCACGTGCAGTGCTGATAAGGACCACGTGTTTCTGAGACTCCTTCCCCTTTATTTTCTTCTTTCCAGGTATTTCTTTCACCTGATGAGGAGGGACCTTTAGCTGCCCTCGAAATCGATTGAGTGTTTCAATATACTTACGCTAAGTACAAGGTTGTTTTTACGATTTTGATTGTCACATCAGCGTGTTTCTCTTCTAGTCTATCTATTGTTATATTGAGAGAGAATTCATGCTTATTATAAAAAAATAAAATGCAATAAAACTGACTGACGAAAAAGGCACCTGAATTTCTACTGCAATTTTAAGACACTTGGAAAATCCTTAAAATAACTTTTAAATAGTTTCAGAAACAAGTAAAGCTATATAGCAGGAATAAGATATGATTTTTATAACAATTCACTGGCTGTATTACTGAAGTTATTCATAGGCTTTGAATGCTTCAGCTTAAAGAAAAGTTAAAAGGATTAAAGATTCATAAATCTAAAATTTTGCTTGAAAATTCCTAAAGAATAAAGAGCATTAATTACAGCTATTGAATTCTTTAAATAGAAATCAGGTATTCTTTAAATTGGAAATTAGTATATTTGTATGGCTTTCGTATCTTTTAGAAAAAAGTGACACCGTTATGAGAAACAGATGATTTCGAAACTTTACTGATTTTCAAAAATTAAAGAAAAGTCACAAAAAAGGCAATAACTCAGGGGGAGAAACTAATCAAGGGAGAAAATAAAATAGTCACAAAATTTCGATATATTCCTAAAGAAATATACTGAAAAAAGCTGCAGTATGCAAAATGCTAATGGTGTGATCAATTTGTGTCATGAGACAATGGTTTAAAACGCGCATTTCAGTTAGGCTTTAATTTGCGGTACCTGGAAGCAGGGCAGAGTGATGTAGAGGTGGTCGAATCGCTTAAATGGGAGTCCGTCTTTGGTCCGCTTCACCGGTGGCCGAGTAGTTAAGACCGCTGAATACTAACTCAGACTAAAAGGCTGGCTTCATGGTTAGTTTTCGTAGTTTTCTTCATGTATAACGCGAATACGAACTAGTTTCCTTTAAAACGTCCTTCACAAAGATGCCTCTTCCTTTAGGTAGATAGTCCTCGTGTGCTTTGCCATATTCAAATAATCTAACCTTCTGTAGTTTGTCAACTTTGGCAACATTTCTAAGCACAGATTCATTCTTCAGAAGCTTCAGCAGAGGAAGCTCATGATCCATGACAAAAACTGAAGGCCAGTATCTGTAGTTATGTGCTCAATGACAGAAGATCTCAACCTCATTACAATTCAAGTCTTCCATCGTTGCAACAATGGAAACCAAGATATCATCATCTATCATCCATAGACAGCTTCATAAAGAAGGCCCTTTGCATACTTCTCTCTTGTTACTAAACGGACGAAGCTTAAAGCATTTTGCGATTGAGCTGTCTAATTCCCAACTATACTACAAATCAACAGAGGAATATAAATTTCAAGAATGGCTTTAGATTTAGTTTACAGAGTGATAGCGAGCATTCTTTAATATAGAAATAAATAATCTTGACCCGTTACCATCAATCACATATACTTAAAAAATAATTTTTCGGAATAAGCAGTCTCTGTGCTTGGAACGAGATCTCTTTACGTGGCTGTATAGTATTCTGTGTGCTTCTAAGATGGAAATATGACATCTCAAATATATATAT